ACCGTGAGAATGCACTGTTCCGTTTCGTCGTCGATAACGGATCCACCGTATTTGTAGCCTTCGTTGTGGTGTCGCTGTGGTGGGCGACGGTTGCGTGCTGACCGAATTAGCTGTCGGCCTTATTCAACCAATTGAGATTGGTCGCGGCTTTCACGCAACAATGTGGACATGGGTAACTTCGAAATCCGGCTAGAGAAGAAGTGACCCTTCTTGTCCCTAGGTTCGTTTTGGAGGCGGCGATCATCCTCATCGTCGTGTTGGTCGCTGTCGTCACTACTGTCATCATCATCGTTGTCATCGCTCTCGCTGACTTCGATGTAGCCGTTGTCTTCATGGCCTGGTTGTGCCGGTGGCGCATCGACCGCACCGCCAGACTCATTGTCCTCCTCCCATTGATCGTCGCCGGTGGAATTGTCGTCGAAATCCCGCTGATGGTAAAACGTTGTTTGAAAAATTTGACGTCGATGGCATGCACAATCTTGTTGTGATCGAGATCGTGCAATCTATACGCCTTTTTGGTCTCCGAGTAGCCCAAGAATTTTCACTTGGACGTCTTTGGCTTCAACTTGTTTCGCTTGGATTGGCATGGCAGAAGACGGTAATACACGCACCCCCAGGACTTCCAATAGGTATAGTTGGGTAGATGTTTGAAAAGCAACTCGTACGGTGACGCTGTGGTACTGGCATGTTGACAATGCGATTGCTAATGAATGCTGCCGTAGACACCGCTTGTGCCCACCATCGTCGAACCATATTGGCATGAAGGAGCATTGAAAGTGCCATCTCGAAAAGAGTCCGATTCGTTCGTTCGGCCCTGTCATTTTGGGACGGTTTGTCTGTTATCGTTGTTTCATATCAGATGCCGAGTTTGCGCAAGTGCTCCTCGAACATGATGGACTGATATTCGCCGCCGCTGGCCGAGCGCAAACATTTGATCTGGAGGCCGGTCTGTCTTTCTAACCACGGACGAAATTCCTTGAATGTCGCTTGTAGAAACCTCGTTTTAAGAATTGTCTGTGAACACGGTGTCAAAAACCTTCACTACTCTTCAAAATATGAAGGAGAAATGCATCGAAATACACGGTAGAAATGATTAAAAACTCCCTCGCATGAAGAAGGATGCGATGATAACCGAATTCACAACTCTTCATGAGGAGTGTGATGCCTACAACTACGAGAGTGCCTTAATCCAATTGACCTGTCGACTTGGAGACGAGGCGTCCATGGAAGCACATCGGAATTCCCACGAACAACGACTTTGGCAATACAGTGATACCTCACATTTTGCACCCCACTCAAAATGAATAAACTGCATAATATGATTCGACGTCAAGTACTTGATGTGTAAAGTATGTTTGCGTTTTCTTTGGGTTTCCATCCGTCTGTTAGAATTTATATTTTGGAGATGGTGCAAAATGTGAGGTATCACTGTACATTGCAGTTTTGGCCTCATGTATTTTTTTTGGAGTGACATGCAATTTCAAAGTTGTTTCTGGTTCCGGCCACTTGTCAGCAACTATTTTCGGTCCAGACGTGCATGTTGCAACAGCAGGGTTTTACAAAACATCCGGTTAATTGTGCTGATATGCAGGAGTGTTGGTCTGTGTTTCCTTATATATATCGTGCGGGTCGACCACATATGACGTGAAAAAATTTGGGTTGCATAAAAAAATTACATGCATTCGCATCACTCCACGGTCGAGATATTGATTTATACAGGAACGTGACCATCGCAACAAGCCAGTCCGTTGAGATGGCGATCACCTGCGGTATGTTGTGCGCCGCCTTGTGGCCTCCTTCGACTCATGCTCGCTCGATCGCTGCAGGCTCTTGCACGTATGTCAGCCAAGACAAAGACGCAACGTTTTGCTCCATGTGTGGCAACGCGTACAACGCCAACGTCGTTGTTGTCACGCCTGTTGAGACCGTGTACGAGGCCCATCCCGTGGCAGCGTCACCAGTCGGCGCTCCTCTCGTCGTGGTAGCTTTGCTATCGTTGCATTGGCATTGACCTCTTCACTCGTCGAATGTTGTGTCGATTAGACGGCGTCTGGGCAAGTGCTCAAGCCCGACGGAACGTGCGCCCATGTCCGCGCCGACAACGAATTTACTTGTTGTGGTATCTGCTGCGCCATTTGCTTTTTCCCAGCAGGTATCCTTTGCTGCCTTTTCATGCAAGAACGCCACTGCAGCCACTGCAAGCAATTGTTGCCGTAACTTCGCACGACCCATGCACTTGTTCTGCTTCCACCTTTAGTGTGCTTGACAGTGAGTTATATTGATGCAACATGCGGTTGGATGTGCCAAAGCGCTTGATACATTGGGTCACCATAGATTCATTGGTGTCCTGTTTCCATCAACGCAAGCCATATGGAACAGCAGACGTCGCAACTGAATGCGTCATTGCCATTTCCAAGTTTGCGAGCTCCATCGCTGTTCTTGTCTCGACTACTTCCCGCACTCTTCTCGCGTGACGAGGGGGTGTTTCGCGCGCAGCATGCCCAACAACGGTCGAAACCTTCGTTGCGGTGACAAGTTGTCATGCTTTGCACTCTCCCATGCGCTCCTTCAAGAGGAACGCAGCGGACGCCACGTGCATCTTCGTGTTGTGCCGTCTTGCGACCCCTCGTTCCACTAGTACGGATA